TAGAGGTTAAGTGGCTGGCCTCACATTCAAAGGTCCCAGGTTCTTATCCGGGTAGCGACCGAAAAGAAAATGTCTTGCCTAAAATTGTCTCCTTTCACCTCCCCTCCTTTCGAATAATGCTCTTTAGCAATGTTCTGTCGTCTGCCTTCGTCTCCTCTATCTGCCCCCACCCCCTCACCTTCTTTGCCCCCTACTCTGGGCTACTGACTCTTTCTGTAGCCTTTCTACAGCAGCTACTCCTTTGCTCTTTCTTATTGCTGTCTTTCCGCCTCACCCCTGATCTGCCGGTAGGAAAGATTTACTCCTAGTCCTAGCCTTCTCGGACAAGAGCGAAAAATCTCCGAGGTCTCTTGAGCATGTTGCGCACGTTAAAGATCCCTTGGTGGTCTAAAATAGATAAGAATAGGCTTCAGCCGCCACACGGGCAAAATTATAAATTTCCTAACGACTAAAAATGTCTAATGTGTCCCGCACGCTCATATGACCTTACGCATAGCGAGCGTTGTAAAACACTAACCAGAAAAAAAAATTATTAGGCCCTATAGTTTGGTTCCAAAAGAGTTTTCCTCTTTCTTTGCTCTTGGGAAATTTTTGTCAGTACAATCTTCATTTGTCAATATATAATATACCGCAAATGGCCCCTTGAGAGTAAGAGTAGCTATTTCCACTCTTCTAGTCAAATTGGATATATATCACTAGTAACTTTATACTCATCATCATCAAAACAACGTGCCAGATTTGCTGCAGACATCGGCGATCATGGTTCTCCATTTATTCCTTTGCTCTGATGCTCTTTAAAAAAGCTACGTTATTCTGATCTTCCGCTGTTAGGCCTACCCATTTGTTGAAGTTTTCTTTAGTAGGTTGCTCTGGACCTAGGCCCTGCCTCATTTGCCTTCAATTTTGCCAGTGAGAGCTAGATGTTCAAGACCTTAATATGTCTATTCAGGTGTCCCAAAAACTAATTTGGTCGTTTCCTGTCATATCACTACTATGGGAATCAATATTTGCCAAATCTTTTAGTCAAATGAAAGTCTGGACCCAGGTTTTATTGTTGTGAGTCCAATGTTTGTCTTGGCTACCTGACAAAATCTGTAGCTGTTCAAGAAAGAAAACAGTGGCAAATGTCACAGGCTCAAGTTCAGACACCATGATTTACTTACAAGCCACAGACATTTATCAACTCACCTGCCCTGTACAGTATTGGCTTTTATGGTCCACAATATTGGCACTGGAGGAGAAACTGCTCCACTTCATATCGGCAAATACTTTTAAAACAAAGGGTAAACATAAACTATTTAGCTCTAAGTCTAAGTAGGGCCTATAGAGGCAAAGGATTGAAACATTTTGAAAATCATTGAAACATGACAATTTTCGTTGTTGTCTCAAGTCCTTCTTTATTGTTGAAAATAGTCGAGACAACTCAATCAGCTTTTATATTTAATAGAATGTGCGCAGGATCCCTTAAGAGGTATAATTTGTTAAATCATGAACTGTTTATACCTCATAGAGGGGTGGACATATAATAAAAAGTTGATAAAAAGATAAAATATCTACAACAACATTAAGGGTGTAAAATGTACACAAGATGTCATGTCATGTCAGAACATGTGACTGGGGACAGGACCTACAACAATGCAATGTATAAGGAATCAGAAACAACCAATGGAATAAACTGAAGGCTACATATATATTTTTTTGTTGAGTGGAAGGATAAGAAATAACATGCAAGGCATTCAACTTACTAAAACTTAAAGATATGCAGTAAGAAATGTATAAACCATAATTCAAACAACAGTAAAATACAAAAGATAACATGGCAAATTGTTTAAAAGGTCATGGCTTGCAGATGACTAAAATACAACTGAATTCGGGTAGTGCATATTCCAGGCTTTGCGTACACAAGATTTTTGTGCATTCACTCATAAGTTTTTAAAGACACATGTTTCCCGCAGAACACAAATAAAAAGCCTTAATCTTCAGTATAGCAGAAAACTATGATCATCAAAATAACACAATCATAAACAAGTACATGAAGTAAAATTTGAAGAGTCATTCTTGTACGACAAAAATTAGGAAATAAAAGGTCAATAGACGTGACTGTATAAACTGTTATTGTTAAAATTAAAAGTCATGGAAAAGTATTTTCAAGCAAAGTGATCAGAAAAAAGCTTTAGTTTCATTTCGGGGTTTGCTACTCACAACTATAATACATGTATGTCTGTGGTGGAACAATTCACCTGTCTGTGGAAACACTGCAGAAGACGCAGCATACCCCGATGCCAGTCGGTGATAAGGAAGCCAAGTAGTCAACAGTGATCAATCATTAAGCTGCATTGACAGTAATGAGATATGGCACATTTCAACAAATTCTTTGTAACATATCAGTTGAAATAAAGAGACTTTGTATTTGTATTTTAATCACCCTGTATATTAAGAAAGTTTGACATATTATAATCACACAGAGCAAATACCATTTTGCATCTCATTTATCTATATTTTAACAATCTGAACATATAAATTCTCAGGAGACGTGTTGTCTTCTCCTCACCAAAAGACAGCCAATGTAACAAAAAAAAAAAGATGTAAACATTTTTTTAAAAAAATTAAATTTGCTTTTGTAAAAATATAAACTGGTATTCAGTTCATCAACATTTTTACTAGTGTAAAAGGGTTATGTCCGCTACACACCTGCAGTTAGAATAGTTCGAGTAGAACGGTCAAGTAAACCCGAGAGTTAAACTGGAACACGGTGTGTATCCACACCATACAAGTAGACAGAAAAACATTCCCTTGTTGTCATGGCAGAACATAATAATATACTTATCAAATACAGTTAAGTTAATATGGAAAAATACGACTATGTAAATAGCAATAAATCGAGCAGTGAACGCGTTGACTTTGTTAATTTTGACACGCTGAGTTAAAAAATATACTTACTTTTATAATCAGAGTGATATTAAAATTTGTGTTATTAACGTGTTAAAATTTTCTTCCTGGCTGAAAAAAATCAAAGGGATGCCGCCTTCCTATTGCAAGCCCCAAAATGAAGTCAGCCAAACTGACATTGTCGCCTGCACAGTCTGACCCACTTCCATACAGTACCTTCCATTCTACCAGCAAGTCAGCCTGTTCGAGTGAATCCGGAGAGTCTAACTGCAGGTGTGTAGCGGGCTTTATGTATATATATATATATATATATATTATATATAGGAAATTTTTATGTTAGAAAAAAAAGAAGTATTGTACAGATGACAACACATATAACGACACATATATTACTGGGATCATGAGGGCGGTCCAATTCCCCTGTTTATCTCCAGTTGAACAAAAAACAGCTCATATCTATCTTAGATAGAATGTAGTTAAAACTTATTGTTACTTTAATATAAAATCTTGAAGTGATAAGAGTATTAAGAGGAAGAATACCCATGAAAGTAATGATGTATGAACTGGTAAAGGCTGATACCTGTAGGTTTTCCGAATGTATTACCTTCTTACTTTTTCATATGTGTCACGACATCGTGGAATCAGGCAATCTTCAATTTTTGGGCGTATGGAGTTATTCATATCATCTTATGGCTTTTTATTTGCCTTGCTTTTGATGAAAAAAATCTTAAATAGAAATCGAAATATTTGTGACAGAAGGAGATGAGGTTGCCTGGTGTCAGAGTCAAAACTAGTGAGAAACTAGCCTACAAAGCTTGGGTGTTTCTTTAAACTGCAAAGTTACATTTTTTTGTGCCTTTGTTCAATGTCTTTCAGTAAAATCCGCACAGAAATGTATTTCTAAATGGACATAAAGTGTTGAATCAAAACTTTAAAAATCAATAGCAATTGCCCAATGGATGGAAAGAAGATCAGTTTCTCTGATTTCATTGTTTTGATGAGCGCCTGATCTCACATGATGACACAAATATGTGATGCATCATGTTGAAATTAGTCAAAATAATTAACTTTACACAAAGGGCATCTTATCCACTATTTGGCAATTTTTATCAAATTTTTTTGTTTTTTGTCTCATCATCTTTTATGTCCATTTAAAAACAACTTTTTGTGTGAATTGTACAGAAAAACATTGACTACAGGAAAAATTTTTTAAAAATTCTAAGGACTCGCTCAAGCTATGGAAATCATCAAACTTTGGCAGCTATGTTATTGCTAATTTTACCACTGAATCAGGCAACCCCCATCTCCTTCAATTGCAGATATTTTGACTTCTGTTCAAGATAGATAGGTTTTTTTTCACATCAAAAGATAGACAAATGAACAAGCTTTAAGATGATATCAGTAATTCCACAAGCCCAAAAATTTATGAGCACCTGATTCCACCGCGTCGTGACACATATAAGTATTCAGTGAGGTTTTATCCTGCTGGTTTTTTTTAGTTTCAACTCAACGTCTAGGTTTTCATGAAAAAATATATCCAGTCAGCCATGGTTTTAATAAGTTGTAAATGGAAATATAATGGAAACCAACTCACTTTGTTGTTCACACAAGATAAGTGAATGGACCATAAAATATGCTATCATAATTGAAATACTGATGATCTTAACATTGGTTTCTATTTCCTGCGAATGGAGAGAATGATAGACAAGTATTTATTTCATCAAAAGCAAGACAAAAGAACAAGCTTTAAGATTATACAAACAACTCTATATGTCCAAAAATTAATGGGCGCCTGGCTCCAGCATGCCATGATACATATGAAGATAAGGTCAGAGCCAAGATCAGTTAAACAATTTTTTCAATGGAAGCACTTTTACTCAAAAACTCTTCAGCTTCACCCTCTCCAGAAGTGTCTTTGACTTGCTTATTTTTCTTATTCAACAGATTTATATCAAGAGGGTCTTTAACAGTATACTCAAAGTCAGAGGATGGCACAGCCTTTGTATTTGTAGGCTTTGCATCAAGATTAGGACGGTCTTTGGGTGCCTTCGCCCATTCCATCTCGACCCCGCTTCCGAAGATGAGATAGAATACCAAACAGGCCAAACCGATTCCTGAGGTGAGGAAGAACACTCCTTGCCATTCCTCCCTGGTTTTCTGGGGGGAAAAGAAAACTTCAATTACAGCAGGTGAAATGTTCAAATAACAGACTTCAAGAGGATCCCTCTAAATAAGTAACTATTAAAATACAAAGGAGTCCATTATACTGAAAATGGTTTATCTGATAACAGCGGTAAACCGAGAAAAAATAATAGCTCCATTTTTTTTCTTCTATTTGAGCAGCCTCTCAAAGATCTGGCTAAACAAAAGAAAATTCATTAATCCAGCAGATTAATGTTTAAGTTTAAGCTGGCTCCACTCCAGTATCATATAAGACTAGAACACTACAATTAAAACTGATCAAAGTCACAAACTCCATATTCTACCATTATTGCCTTTTGGATGTGCACTACAGTACATAATAATATCTTACTCTTGAATACTTTCAAACCAAACAATAGACTCAGTCCTGAGTTAGAGATGAAAACAGAAAAGCATCCAAAGTAAAGTGATGATGACGACAATATAAATAATTCTCCCCTTGAACCAGGGTTTATGCTAAGTCATGTCTGGTCCATCAGATAACTCATCATAAGACCTCCTTTGTGAGTCCCTTCCACTTGTTATATATGTACAGCACCTCTTTGTACTCTTTTTTTGGTCACTTCTGGTAAGTCTCAAGGCAAAATGTTGAGCTGTTTTACTAAATAAAAAAACAACCCTATTTTTCATTTACATTTACTGACCAAAAAAATTAACCTCTCCTTTCCTTAAAAAAATGATGACGTGTTCTTGAGAGTGGGAACTTGAGGAATTGTTAGGTAAAAAAAATGTCTGTTGAAAAATTATGCAGCTTATTTCAGCAGAAGCAAAACGTGGAAATTCTTGCAGCATATACTCCAAACAGAAACCATAATACTGAAGTCTCTTACCTTTTTTTAAAACTATGTTTCAACAATGATGAAACGATGTCAATGATGATAATGATAATAATAATATATAACTTTTATATTGCGCATTTTAAAAAAAAATAGCTCAATGCACTTTACGTCTAGGAATATCCATTTTCAAAACCTTTCTTACTACTTCCTTTCTTCTCATGCAATATATATTTATGCACACACACACACACACACACACACACACACACACACACACACACACACACTATTTTCATTCAGACATAGGCACGGAAAAACTATAATAAAAATAACGCTAAAAGCTTATGAAGGATAGGCCTGTAGGAACAGAAAAGGCTTAAGATGTCTTTTGAAGCTATCAAGTGTTCTTGTTTGTCTTAGTAACATGGATAAGCTGTTCCACATAAATGGACCAAGACTTGAGAAAGATCTCTCTCCAAATGATTTGTACGATTTTATTGGTGTCACAAGTAGGGTGTTATCGTTTGATGATCTTAGATTTCTCCATGGCTTATATATAGTGATGAGTTCTTGTAGATAAAAAGGAGCAGTTTTATTTACACATTTGAAGCACAAGACACAGATTTTAAATATTATTCTTTCTTTTACATGGAGCTAATGAAGTTCTTTTAATAGTGGAGTGACATGGTCTTGTTTTTTAGATCTATTTATCAGTCTAGCGGCATTGTTTTGAATGACTTGTAAACGATTCAAATATTTAATGTTCAGACCCCCTAGGAGTGATTTACAATAGTCTAATCGAGATAGGATAAGAGATGTTACCAATGTTTTTGTGGTCTCTTTGTTTAAGTACTTTCGAACAAGGCCTATCCTTTTCAGCTAAAAATAAAGGGATTTGGACAGAGATCCGACAAACGAACCCATTGATAAGTGGTGGTCAATATATACACCGAGATTCTTGACAACTTCTTTACTAAATATCATATGCCCATATAAATCAATGTTGACATTTTCCAGATCTTTAGGCCTGTTTAATCATGGATTATTTATAAGAATGATGTCTGTCTTTTCTTCGTTTAGTTTCAATTTGTTTACTGTCATCCACTTTTTAATCTCATAAAAACATTGTTTAGTGATAGAAATCATGTTTGGCAGATCTTGATTGGTGCCCTTAACATACATTTGGGAATCATTGGCATAAAAATGATACTTCAATCCATGATTTTGTAAAATGCTTGCTAAGGGCTGTGTATATAGAGTAAAGAGCACTGGTCCAAGAACGGACCCCTGTGAAACTCCATAATCGAGCCTGACCTGATTTGAAAAGCTGTTTTTAATTTGCACTGATTGAACTCTTTCTAGTAAATATGACTTAAACAATGAAAGCACAGTACCTGATAAGCCAAATGAGCGCTCAAGTCTAGAGGTAAAATAGAATGGTCAATTGTGTCAAAAAGCTGCAGACAAATCCAAAAGAGTTAAAAGACAGATGTTTTTGCCGTCATCGGAATCCAAAAAATCAGACGTTACTTTTAAAAGCCCAGTTCCGTACTATGTTGAGCTTTATAGGCAGACTGGTTTTTCATGGTAAATTTCCTCAAGTTTTTTTCATATGAGCCAAAACTTGACTTAAAACAATCTTCTCTAGAATTTTTAAGACAAATAGCAAATTCGAAACTGGTTGATTGTCTTTTAATTCAGTTTCATCAAGCCCGGGTTTTTTCAATAAAGATGGTTGTTTTAAATACACTTAACAGGCCTGAAACTTTTAAGTTTCCATTTTACATTTTTTTTCTATTGTACAATAATGATGTCATGAGACTTTTACATTTCACCATCTCTTTCCTTGTGACATCTACCTGCCCCTGCCCCCCCCCCCCACCTTTTTTGTGCCCCTTCTGCAAAAGCTGTTTACACTTTGTGTAACCAATTTTATCTTATCTACATGCTTAGAACCAGGACCTGACCATGGCAAAACCCACCCGGGCAATAAGAGAATTTTTTCCCCCTGAACTTCAGCTCTTTCTGGTAATTTTTCTTTCGAACCACTATGAAACATACTATAGAAAACACTTTGTTTCTATGGTGTTGTTTATGTCTTTTTTTTCTTGAACTATGTTCATGATTCAGTAGATAATAGCGATGATTTTTATGATGGTGATGAAAACTGCAGCTTGAGCAAATCTTCATTTATTAAATCTGACATCTTAAAACAAGAGCTAGTTCATGCCAACAATCAGCCCTCCAATAGAGAGAAAATACTGAAGTTGAAATTGTCCTCAACAACCACCAATTGTAACAGAGAAAAAAGATTGTCTTGTAAAAGTGGACCATTTGGATGGTGTCATCTTTATAATATAATCAAAAAAACATGTGGGGGAAGTAGGATGTGCTCATTTGAACAGGCGATTGTCTTGGACAGATGGCTGTTGGAGTAGGTTTGACTGTATTCTGTTTTGTCTTTGGAGTGCACAAACTGTTTAAGACTCTCCCTTCAACTTCATTACTCAGACAAAGACAATGAATAGGCCCTATGACGTGGAGAACAAGGTTTGTGGGGCATACAGATGATATTTTTTAAAAAGAAGTGAGCCTACATCGGCACAATGGTGAGCCTGATTGACGAAATAAATAGAGGGAGAGCAAAGTACCAACAACAAAAAATACAGCCCAACCTTGTCTAATAATAGCCACCTGTCAAAGACAATCCCCTGTACAAACAACACCTTTCCATTTTTCCCCTTGTATTTTTTTGATCTATTGTAAAGACACTGTCCAGTAAAACCACCTGTCTAAGACATCCACTCTTCTTCTCAAAAATGGGCGGCGGTCTTGGACAATTTTGACAGAACAAAAAGAAACTTACGTTGACAGTCATGGCTGCAACCACGTAAGGAGAGACAATTCCTGAGCCCACAGCTATGGTGTTAGACAGACAAAGTACGGCAGTGGCGTATCGCGGCGCTATGTCATACGGGTTGATTAAAAAGCCCTGGAGACCAAAAGACATAGAAACAATTCAATTTTCTTTCATAAGAGTGATCAAAGTACTTGAAATTAGAATGAATCATTGACTTTCAATTAGCAAAATAATGTGGTTTGAGCTCTATAGTTTGCAATAAAAAGAAACCATTTAAAAGAAATATTTCTAACAAACAAACAAACAAACAAAAAAGTAAAGTAAGTACTTAAAAAATTAAATTTTTCTTTCATTTTCTTTCATTGTCTTATTCAGATCTCCCTAGAAGTATAATCCTTACTTAGTTTTTTCAAGAAAACATACTATAAAGTCTGTTAAATAAAAATGCTGAACGTTGCAAAAGTTTTTATTTATTGTGAACTTTCAAGTCTCCATGTACACAATTTCAATCATTTAGAGGAAAGTTTAAAATCCAGATCCAGTTCATAATTGACCTATAGAAGAGATCTGATTTGTTTAAAATATTGAAAGCAATATGACACACTATACAGAACAAGCAATACAGAAATGAGATTCAGCAAACTTGATTTTGAGAGCGATATCGTCAATTTGCGTCAATTTGCGTCAGTTTGCGGCGAAGCACCTGTAAGTTTGTTCCGGATATTCCAATAGCAAAGGTCATCAGAAGGACAACCCACAAGGCCTGGGAGCAGTCCAGGAATGAGATAATCACGTACAGAATGCCAGGAACGACAGTACCTGAAAGGAACAACTTTCTACTGCTTTGTTCACTCCAGCAACCCCCTCCCCCTTCCCTCCCCTTCACCTTTCCCACCGAAAACAGGTTCTCTTTGATACTATGCACACATCATAATCTCTATAATCTAGTCCAAGTGTTTTGTATTTCAAAGTTATCTGCGACAAAACAAGATAACATAAGTTATACATATATAGGTTTGATCATCCATTCCTCCTTTGGGAGAAATCATAGATAAAAAATATTCACTATCATCAAAGCTACAAACATTTCACGTTTTTCTTCTTTTTTTTTCCGTACAGATAATAATCTAAACACAATATTGACTAATGTGAAGGTGGGGCACCAGGTCACTCACAGGTATGAGGAGGATGTGAGAGGGGTTGGTTGGTGGAGGGGTGGAGGGAGCGTGATATGATAAATATATTCATCGAGTAAGGAAAAGAGAAGTTTGGAGCTTCAATTATATTCACATCCTGAACTTTTCAGCATTGACAGATTTTCCTTTTGGCAGGTCAAAATTGTACTAAATGTACCAATGACATTACAATGTTTGTTCAAACGACATACAATTATTTGAATAATGTACACATGGGTTTACAGTCTAAAAATTCCCACCTAGTGCCCAGCTGTAGGCATTGTTCTATGACTTCAAATAAAAGTGTTTACGGTCCTGTGAAGATAGCTAATTTAGCAGGTCACACAATACCCCGTGCAGTGAGAGCACTCAGCTCTGGTAAATTTTTCATTACGTTCTTGACATTTGAGTGTACTTTGAAAGTTGAAAAATAAATATTTCATAGAACAGTGTAGCAAGCAATTAACTGAAATTTTTTTGGGAGAATATCCTATTTCTACGCCCTTCCAAAGCTCTATCAAAGATGCACATTTGAACGTCACTGAAATGCAATTAATGCTATGGGCAAGGCTGACAATTTTCTTGCTTTTCATGATTCCCGATAGGAACAACACAACAAATTCTTGGTTTTTGTCTCGGACATAAAAAGTATCCAAACAAACAAAAGTGGATAGCTTACGACACCGATGATACGTAGCTTGCTGGATCTTGTTCATCCACTGCAGGACATACAACCCTCCCACCCCACCCCTTCCACCAATGATCTTTCTATTTTTCTTTGTTCTGTAAATGCCTTGTCCGGGCCCATCCATTGATCTACATGACATTGTCCCTCCAAAGTCTCTATGGGCAACAGTTTTTAATTTCTCTCCTGTTCTCAGCCTCCGTTCTAACCTAACAGTCCGACACAGAAAAAGAAAAGTGGCTTTTTCCTCCCAAAACAGACAACAAGATTCTCAATCATGAATGTTACATCACAAGAAAAATTTTGAAATGTTCAGAGATTACAATTGCTTTTGCATTTCTTGTGGAGTTAAAAAATTCCTCAAATGGTTGTACTGAGTTCCCACGGTCGTGTCAAAAAGTACCTACTTATTGCACTGAGGTCCCCTGCCTGCTTAATAGCTCAGATATATGTTTTTACTGTTGCAAGAAAAATTACAAACTCTGCTTGATTCTGCTTTACAGGAAGAGAAATAAAAAATTGGAGTTACTAAATTTTTCTTGCAACAGTGTTATATAGGCCTATATATTCCTTTAACAAACTAATCGCTAATTATTAATTTAGTCTTTAATCCGTGTTAGTTTTGAGTAAATAAAGAACAAAACATTTGAAAATAGTAAGAACATGCTTAAGGGACAAGATTCCTAAAATTAAAATCTTGCACATTTCTAGCTATTTAAACTATTTGGCAATAAAATTTTCCATTGTCACCCAGAGTCAGAGTGATTTGTAAAAGAAATACAATTTATTTTTTTCTGGGGGGGGGGGGGGGGAGACATCATTATTGTTATGGAAATCGTGGCCATCTTGAATTGTAAATAAACAATGTACAAGACAATTCTTCTCAAAAAGTATTTAATTTAAAAATTGTCCAAATACTTATTTAGACATAAATTTATGTAACTGACCCTTTGAAGGATAAATTTACAGTAAAAGTAATTTTTTTCCGATTGTTTAAATTTATTTATTATACTTTGAGAAAAATAAATAGCCCATTACATACAATAACATCTGATCTTCATCCACTGAAAATTTGAAGTCTCTAGCTTGAATACTTTTTGAGAATGACTATCCTGTACTTTTATACTGGTCACCGAATCAAAATCATGTTTTTTGATAAAAATGATTTTTAAAAGCATGCTACACACAAAAACAAGCAAATTTAGGCTTTCAGACTTGCAACTGTGAGTGTGAGATCGGAGGTTCGAATCACATCAGGGACCCAACATTGTGTCCTTGAGAAAGGCACTTAACACGAATTTTCCTCACTCCACCCAGGTGGGAATGGGTACCCAGCTATAAACAGTGAAAGATCTTGTCAGTTTGTTAGCGTTTAATCAGATGCTTGCACTGTATGCTTCCCAAGAAGCTGAGAATGTTTCTGAGTGTTCTCTGGTATGTTGGGGTAGTAATATAGTGTAAAGCGCATATATAGATCTTGCTGTTGAGCAGAGACATGCGCTATACAAATGCTAGTTATTATTTATTATTTCAATTTTTTATGCAGCTTCCAGAACATTATGAAATCACTTTTCAACTGACACAAATATTAAATATCAATAGGAGGGTAATCAAAGAAGTTTAAAAATTACAACTTTGAATTTTTCGATCATTTGACTCAAATTTTCCCCAAATCCATTCCAAGCCTTACCTGCATCTTCCCTGAAATAGGCACAAGAAAGAAATAATTCTAAAACATTTAGCAACACATTCAAATGTACCTACCGACAGCAGTGGACAGCTTGCGGACTCCCGTCAGAGATACGACTTTTCTTCTGAGCAGACAATCACAGAGGCTTCCCCAGATGTTGGTGCACAGAGACAGGGCAACGTATGGCAGCATAGAGTAAAACCCATTCTGAGGAAAGAAGGGCGAACGTATCTATTACTATTAGTAAAACTCATACTCCAGCCACACATCTGGGATTTCATATCAGACAGCAGGAACTTCACATTATCATTCATGCATGACCAATATGACATCAAACTTATACACATGATAACATTGGCCTTAGATTACATTATCAATTAAATATCAAACTTCCTCACATAAGATTGGCAGTACATTACTGATTTGATGCAAAACTTCTACACATATATCATTTGCCTTACATTATCAATCTACTATCAAGTGTCAACTCCTAAAATTGACCATACATCGTCAATTAAATATATCAAACTTCCACAAATACAATTCAATCTGGCCCAAGCTGACAAAATACCTGTTTTCATTTTGGCGCCAAAATACTTTATTTGCCACATGGAAAGCCTGATTGTGTGAAAAAATCCAAGTGAAACAGTGACTAGTTTTTGAAAAAATTAAAATAAGAATTTCGGAATAACTCTACTTTTAAATGATTATGTTGACAAATAAAATTCTTTTTCTTAAAACTACTCTGAAGAAAAAAGGGCTTTTCGTCAGCTTACAGCACAATTGGCTGTACATAATCAATTTAATATTCAAACTTTCACACATAACATTGGCTATACTACATTACCGATTGGATATCCAACTGCAGGACTTCCTTCATGTATTGAGGTAACATGGCAAGCAGCATGAAGAATGCCCAATTGTAGCCCAGCTGAGCCACAACCACAGCCCACACAGGGATGGAACTGAAGATTTTCAGCCATGGAATAGCACCCTGCAGTCAGAGGAGAAGGGGATACCGAAATTACATAATATATATTGTATGATCTTTTCGTCACATTACAATAATTAGTATCAACTGTATTACTAATTATTGTCATTATTTTCTTTCATCAATACATGCAGTAACCGATGTTTTAATCACTAACGATACATAAAGAGAAAGGCAATGTAAATCATAATAAAAACTTCTATGGAAGTCACTTTGGACATAATATAAAATATGCTATATGATCAGATTGTCACAGTATTATTATTACTGTCATTTATTACTGTTATTATCATTAATGTTAATAATATAATCATTCCAGAGGTGTTACTGACGTTTGTGACGTGGCGCTGTCTACGTAGCACACAAAAGACCCCCTGTTTGATTCTTGTGCGGGGAGAATTTTTACACAGAGTATCTGAGTCTTTCAACCGTGACATATCCCTCTCATCCTAGGTTGGACCTGACAGACAGGGTTGAAGCCTGCTTCCTAAACGATCTAAACTGTGCTGATGGGGTATTGAAACACAGACTTTAAAAAAATAATGTATAATACTGTTACTGAATGACAAATAAATAATTTAACACTGTAATTTTATGAAGTAACTTCAAAAGACTGACATGTGTAAAAAGATGACAACAAAAGAAGAAGCACAACAAAGAAATAAATAATAACTGTGTTCAGTCATAAAAATCACCCTATTTTCCTTGTTCGTCCCTCCAATACTTTGCTTGATAAACTCTCTTTCCCTGGGATCTATCCTAGGATGTGTGTCTGGAGTTTCGTACATGAGAAACATCCAGAGAACACACCAGACCAGACCCACAATGCCGAACACATAGAAGACAGATGGCCAGCCACCTGAAACACAAATGTCTTGAATAAACTTTTCAATACTTTTAGTAGAAAATGAAGAAAATAAATAAAAACAAGACACAAATTTGTAGAAAAAAGTAAGAAGACTTTATTTGTGGATGATCATATATATATATATATGAATATTTGGGTCATATTATAAATGGTAAAAATTGTTCAAGAAGACCACCCTTTGTTGAGGAGAACAGTGGTTGTCTTACACAGATTGACATCCTGGAGAGTGTAATTACAATATTAAAATAATGCATGGGTAGAAATGGGACGTGGTCATTTCTACAGAGTACAGATGACTGTCTTGGACAAGCGTCCATTAGAGCAGTTATATATATGTTTACAGGTTGTTTTTTTATTGACAGTCTACTTCGTTACGATACATCATTGTAAAAATACAAGCAAATAGTGGAGAGATGCACAGATACATAATGGTGAGATGTTGCGGGGCAGATTAATATTTGAAGCTTATATATATATATATATATATATATAGCTAGTGCACACTGCCAATCGAATTCGTTTGATTCAGTTTGGGCCAGCCAGATTTTCCTCAATAAATTTGATGGGGAAAAGGCGCCATTTGGGCAAAATTCGACTAAATTCTCTCAATTTGACTGTGATCTTCCAAATTCAAGTTTTTTAAAGATCATGACTTGAATCAACTGTATTGAGCCAAAATGGTAGCTATTTACGCTCCATGAGGGAAGATTTGCCTGCCTCTACTTAATCAAATGATTTTAATTGTCAGTGTGGACTGGGTATCTGATTGTAGGCTACAGCCCTCACCAGCAAACCCAAAATGACACAGCAGCCTAGAATTGTAGTACACACACACACACACACACACACACACACACAAACACACACACTCTCTCTCTCTCTCTCACTCCCCAACCCCCCTTCCCCCAACACACACACATTCTCTCTCTCTCTCACTCACACGCACACATACATGATACACACACACACACACACTCACACACACACACAAACAAACAAACACACACATACATGCATTCATACATACACACACATACAAACACACACACATACATACACACACATACAAACACACACACACATACATACATACACACACACACACACACACACACACCTTCCCCTCAGCGCTCACCAGCAAACCCAAAGCGACACAGCAGGCCAGAGCTGGGGTACACACACATACCCACACACACACACACACACACACACACACACAAACACACACACACACACACACACACACACACACACACACACACACACACACACCTTCCCCTCAGCACTCACTCACCAGCAAACCCAAAACGACACAGCAGGCCAGAGCTGGGATACACGATAGCGCTGGCGATCATACTCCCGGAGAAGCAAATGCTGATCAGAGTTGTCCTCTCCTGGGGCGGTGCCCATGCACCCCACATACAGTAGATGGCGGGGACTCCCAGAGCTGACAATAGGCCTTGCGCAACCCTGAGGACGGACGTGAGGGG